CTTTGGGTCACTGAGAGGTGTGGGTCTGGGCTGGCCTGCTCTCCATCCTCCCAGCACACAGAGGACTCCGATGCCCTTCTGGGATGCCCCATGCCAACATCAACCCTGCTGTAGCTCACCTCACGGGTGGAGACTGGGCATCCCTGAGTGGCACCCCTACAGCCCCCATCAGAGCCTGCCCTGAGGAGGGCACTGCCCCTGGAATGACCAGCTGCTGCTGGACCACAGAACTTTGCTACTCCTCCTTCTCTTCCTCCTTCTGTCTCAGCCGGGAGCACTGGTGTTTTCCGTTAGGCCAGCGCTGGAAGCTGGAGTCGGGGGAGCTCAGGCCTATGGCTAGCCGACTGAGACTCCAGGAGAAAGAGGCTCTTCTGTCTCCAAATCTGGAGCGTGGATAGGGAGCTGAGGAGCCCTGGCGTGGCTGTGAAGTGAGCTTGCCACGGGCCCCCAGGGAAGGAAAGCTGAGCAGGGCAGGACAGAGGGGCCGCGGAGCCAGGTGCTGCTGCTCTGCTGGGTCCTGGCTTTTGCAGCCTGGCCAGGCTCAGACAGAGCCCTGCGGTCTGGGAGACAGCTCCAGGAGGACCGGCAAAGATGAAGGACTTCCAGCAAGCCTGCAAAGGGTCTCCTGCCCAAAGGGCCCCCCGGCAGCAACCCCACCAGCCTTCGACCCAGCCACACGTCCCGTCCCCGAGGGCAGGCTGGGTCCCAGGAGCTGAATTCTCAGGTCCCCAAGAGAAGCTGTGGGCTGGGGCTGCTGCTGACCCAGGTGTGGCTGTCTCCTCTCAGCCGCACTCAGTGAGTGACTTGCCAGGCACTGTCCCACAGTGTTGCAGAGGGGAGCAGGTAACAGATGTGCCCTCTGCCTGGTTCACCTGGCCGGTGTTTGGAAGCTGAGCCTGCTCATCTTCGCCTGCAGCTGAGGACAGTGGCGGACTGCTCATCTCAGCGCTGGCTGCAGCGGTGCACGCAGAGCCACGTCACGCTGCGCAGGGAAGGACCTTGAGTGGCAGTCCAGGCAGCATGGTGACCCCAGGGAGCAGGCAGAAAGCAGCGAAGCCCATGCCCTCCCGGCAAGTGTAGGGGAGCCTCAGTGGGCCCCTCGGAGAGCCCAGGCACAAGGACGGCTGTGCTGTGGGCTGACCCAGGGATGTAGGTCAGGTGTTCAAACTTTAAAGGACACAAAGGCAGCAGCCAGCCAGCTCTCCTGGGCTGGGCAGACAGGCAGCTGTCGGGAGGCAGGAGCTGCCTGCATTCCAGGCATTTCAGCGCCTTTATAAAGCAGGGGCGCTCCTGCCGCTATGGGGCGAGGGAAAGGGAGTGCAGGGCGGCCCTGCTCCCCAGCATGGCCAGGACCGGCCCTCTGGAGCCCACCGGGGCCCATGCCATCTGCTGGGCAGAGGAGGGCTGCAGCTGCTCCCTGGGCCTCAGTTTCCTCCACTGCAAAATGGGGAGAACAGAGGCCTCTACCCCACTTCCCGCCGCTGGGAGGGCCCAAAGAAACAGGTATGAAGAGTCCTTAGTACATGGCCAGTGCTGTCCATCTGTCCGTGGACATGAGTGGTTTTCAAGACACACTCAGTGCCGTGGGGGTCCTGAGCAGGGAGAGCCCACACCCCGCTGGGGGGTCAGGAGAAGCTGAGGCTACACAGGGAACCACGGGAGGACCTCCTGGCAGAAGGCCTTGCAGAGGCCCAGAGCCTGGGGTCTGTGTGGCTGTCGGGGTCTGAAGCCCGGAGCAGGTGAGAGTGGGGTAGATGCTGGGGACTTCTGAATGGTGCGCTGGCAGGCAGGGGCCATGGGAGGCTTCGGGGCGTGAAGGGCCAGGGGTGCCAGCTCACGTCTGTGCTGGCTCAGTGCCTGCCCAGGTTGAGCTGGCTCCCGGCCTGCCCAGTCCTGTGCCCCCCACCCTGTGTCTCCTGGGACAGCGACACCCCCCACAGCAGCCGGTCTGGCTTTCTCACTCTGCCTCCCCCTCTCCCCGCTCCCCAGGCCAATCACTTCCCCTGCTCCAGGGAGAACCGAGGGTCATTTCAGTCCTGTTCAGAGCTGGACGCCTTCCCCAGAGCCAGCTGGTCTGTGTCCAGGCGGCCAGGGCTCGGACGGAAGCCACACACAGGCCACCCCCCCACCTCCGTTCTGCACTCCACTGCCCCCCTCAGAGAGCGGCTTACGTTCCAGCCTTTCTGCAGGGGCTCCCCAGGCTGCCCCAAGCCCAGCCACCTGTCTCCCCGCTTTGGGACTGTCCCTCCCGGCCCCCATCCTCCTTAATTGCTGCAACACATGTGCAGTCTGCTCCCCTGCCCACCTCCTCCCCCTTCACTTTTTCCCTTCCCCAAGCTTACAGCCCTGGCCCTGGAGTTTACAGCTGCAAAACACACACACACACACACACACACACACACACACACACACACACACGCATGCACAAAACCAACTGTGGAATGCTTTCCTGCTTTCAAGCGGGTTTATGGCTCCAGAGAGCTCTCTCCTCCTCTGCTTCTCACAGCACCTGACATCCAATCGTCGTTCCTCAGCACTCTTTTCCATTGCTCCTGAAAGCCGGGCTGGGGGCTCGGGGCTGGGGCTGGGGCCCGGTCTAAGTGGGAGCCAAGGGGCTGGGAGGTGAGGATCAAGGAGGACCGGGCCCCCAGCCGTGACTGACCCACAGGGGATCACGAGCCTCCCACCAGAGCCGCACACACACACAGCGGGTCTGGTTTTCCCATTTGGAGCGGGAACTGGGCTTCTCAGAGGCCAGACTGAAGTGTGCGGCAGCCCCGCCTCCTTGGACTTTCATTCATTCTTTTGACAAAGTCATTCATTCAGCCCGTGTGTGCTGAGCCCCACCATGTGCCAGGCTTGGGCGTGGGGGGCGGGACGGGGAGCCAGACAGCCAGAGCCCCAGGCCCTGGATCCTGCAGTCCAGCGGCGGGGGGGCACAGCCCAGACAACCCAACAGCAACATCTCCGCCAAGGTGGCGGGCGCTAGGTCAGGAGCGACGTGGCATTCAGGGCGCCACGCGGAGCCCCTCAGCTTTCCTTGGCAGGAGTGGGAACAGGGTGGGGGCGTGCTGTTTGTCACAGAAGCCTTCCCCACCGACAGGCTGCCTAGGCTGCAGGCAGAGGGAGGGAGGCATTCACCGGGACAGGCCGGCAGGAAGCGCCCCCCTGCAGGGGAGGTGGGAGGCTGGGAGGAGGGAGGCAGCATCTGAGAGTGTGCATGGGGGTCCTGGGGACGGGTCTGGCCGTCGATGGCCTGGTGGTCTCTGTGAGCATTTGGACTTCACCCTTCAGGCTATGGGCGCCTCAGAAGAGTCTTAAGCAGAAGAATAAGACGTATCTAGTCAGACGTTTCATTGCAAACAGCAGAAATGGGCTCCAGCCAATTGAAGACAAGAGAGGTTTCTGGAAAGCGCTGTGAGAGCTCCCACATGGAGGGAGCGGGGCGGCAGCCGGGCCTCACAGGAGGGACTGACCAGCAGCCTCTCTTGGAGGGGCCAGTGCTGGGACAGTCCTCAGCCTTGCTGTCCCCAGATTCTAATTTCCAGGAGAACAAAGACACAGGACACCAGCCACCAGCAACCAACCAGACTGGCCAACAGTGTGACAGGGACAAATCGCACAGACATTACGTTACATTGTGAGCAAAAGAGGCCAGATCCAAAAGAGCCCACGGTCCACTTGTAGGAGTCCTAGGACAGGCAGTCAGGCTCGGGGGCAGAAGTCACACCAGCGGCTGTCTCCGCAGGGCCTCGGCGGAAAGGGCTCAAGAGAGCATCCCGGGGGGTGAGGACGGAGACTCCGGTGGTTACAAAGGTGCATTTTCATCTGACTCTACATGTCAAATCTGTGCGTTTTGTCCTATGGGAATTATGTCACAATGAAAAAAAGAGTGGAAGTGAAAGCTGTTCTTTTGCTAATTACAAATCAGTCAATCAATCTAGGGAGACAGAGTCTTCCTGCGTAGCTCAGACCACACACACCCAGCATTCCTTGGCCAGGGGAGGGGGGCCCCCTGCCAGACAGCTCCCCCGAGACCTCTTGCACCAAGGGAAGGTAGTTTCTGGAAGGGCAGCCAAAGAGGGGCTGTCAACAGGAGAGGGAAGAAACATTGAGAGGACAGCCCCGGCCTGGTGCTTGGAATGCCAGAAGAGATGGTCCTGGGTTGTTTACTTACAGTGTGAAACAGTGTAACCAGGTAGAAAAGAACATTAGTCTAGTCACCAAGGAAACCTCTGTGGGGCAAGAGCTGGCAAGTGAGAAATATATGTGGGCTGGTAAGGTGGGACACTTATCTACAAGGTCCTCTTAATTATTAGAATTGGCGAAATCTTGGGTCCTCTCACCTCAGGCTACCCCTGGACACACGACCCAAGCGGCATCCACCAGGCTCCCTATTCTCGGGGGAGGACCAGGATGGAAAACATCTGGAAGGCGGGATCGTCCTGTTGGGGACGTTATCCCAAGGTCAATGCCTCAGAGAAAAGAAATATGGTCTCCTTGAATCTTTGAATCGACTCCTCTGACCTCTCAAAAATAAATGAATGAATAAACAACAACAACGAAAAAACGCCTGTAATCCCAGCACTTTGGGAGGCCGAGGCGATAAGATCACCTGAGGTCAGGAGTTCGAGACCAGCCTGGCCAACATGGTGGCCTCCCTTCCCCCCGTCTCTACTAAAAATACAACAATTAGCTGGGCATGGTGGCGCGTACCTGTAGTCCCAGCTACTCCAGAGGCTGAGGCAGGAGAATCTCTTGAACCCGGGAGGCAGAGGTTGCAGTGAGCAGAGATTGTGCCGCTGCATTCCAGCGTGGCGACAGAACGAGGCTCTATCTCAAAAAAAAAAAAAAGAAAAGAAAAGAAAAATCAGAGGCAAGTGCTGGTCACGTGGCGTGTCAGCTGCTGACCCTCTCCGTCTGTTACTCGACATGTGTGCCCACATCCCCGCCTCCGTCCAGGGCATTTAAATCCTCTCGTGGGCGCTCCCCGCAGCTGCCATCAGAGCGCTGCCCAAAGGGAGCTGCCCTTCTCCCTTCGTGCTCCTGTGCTGGGGACCCAGAACCCCAGCACCCACCCCGCCCCAGCCAGTGCTTTCTTCCCAGCCCATGGGGACGCTGGTGGCCAAGCTCCTCCTGCCCACCCTCAGCAGCCTGGCCTTTCTCCCCACTGTCAGCATCGCGGCCAAGAGGCGGTTCCACATGGAAGCCATGGTCTACCTCTTCACGCTGTTCTTCGTGGCGGTGAGTTTTGGGGCCAGGAGAAGACCCACACAGGCCCCATACTGGAGCCAGAGGAGAGACTGTCTGTCCACTGCTCTCTCATATTGGGTGACGGGCAAAAGGGATTTGAAAATGAGAGAGCGAGACCAGGTGGGGTCTGGAGACTGGAGAGAGAGGGCTAGGGGAGCCCCTTCCCTTCTCTGGACCTCGGTTTCCCTATCTGTGCCAGGAAGTTGCTTTGGGATCACTGCCTGTGTGAGACCAAGCCCAGGGTGGAGCAGTGCCACTGAGCTGAGGACAAGCCCTTCCAGGGTGGCCCTGTTCTCAGCTGCTAATCAACGCCGCAGGGCTGCCCGTGGGCCACCTCCCCTCCCCATGTCTCTTCCAGCTCTACTCATAGGCCCCGATGGAGCAGAGATAAATGGGGCAAGCCAGGCCTGGGAAGGGGTCTGTGGGGTTTAGGGAGTGTGAACGCCAGGGTGAGTCTGATTCCAGAATCCTGGAGCCGCCCTCATTCAGCAGGGCCTGCGGACCTCTCCCTCTTCTGGGGCCCACCTCTCTCCCTGTGGGGCTTTCTCTTTCCATCCATCTATGTCTGGCTGGCTGACTCCCGCCGCTCTCTCTCTGGCTCTTTCCTGCTCTCTGTTTCCTGGTACCTGTCATTGGGTGGATTATCCTCCGTGTTTCAGGAGTGCCTGGAAATTTCCGAGGTGCCTGTTTCCGGGACCTGTTTTCTCTCTCTCTCTGTCTCTTTCTCTGGGTCTCTTTCACTCTGTGTTTCTCTTACTGGTTTTGTATGTCTGGTTTCCTCTGTTTCCCTTTTTTTTTTTTTTTTTTTTTTTTGCCTTTCTCTGTCTGGTTCTCTTTTGATTTCTGGAACTCGATCCCCATGGAATTCACTCTCTCTGAAGCTCTTGATCCCCCCTCACCAGTTTAGTCCCAGACTCTCCATGTGTCTCTCTGGCTCTAGCTGTCTACCGCTCCAGCTCTCTCCTCTCTCTCTCTCTCTGCCTCTCTCTCTCCAGCTACCTAGCTACCCAGCCATCTACCTGCCGTCTATTTCTCTATTACCGTCTCTCCATTCAGCTGTCATTCGTCTGTCTAGGTACCTCCTGCCTTCCTGCCTCTGCGTCTCTCGGACTCTCTCTGCTGACATGCCCTCACTGCGGGCTCCCACACTTGCTGCCCCACCTCCTGCTCTCCTTCCATCAGACCCCTCCTTCACTGGCAGCGCAATCCCCAGCACGACACCCGCTCTGGGGAGGCAAACATCCGACCAGCCTCCTTCTCAGGGCAATGCTGGGCCGACCCGTGAAAACCCCATCTCCCCTCCACAGACAGCCTCCTTCTCCAGCAGGAGGGCCTCTGTGGGCAAGAATGCCAAGTGCGTGTGTGCGCGCACAGGCAGTCCTGAGCGGGGGAGGCCGAGTGCACACGTGTTTGCAAGCATGTACTCACATGTTACACTTGCATCCTGAATTGGTCAAGTCCAATTTTGTCTGCAGTGGGAGAAGCTGAGTGTGTGTGCTTGGCTATGAGCGAGGCATGCACACGGCCCCTCTGGTATGTTCCACTCCCACAGGGGACAGTGGCCAGGGACAGGCTGGGTCCTTTGTGGAACCAGATGCCCTGGAGTTTCTGAGTCCATCTCGAGAGCCAGCATCCAGGCTGGGGGACTGGGCTGGGTGCTCTATATACAGCGTCTGATTCAGCCTTTCACCTTCCCCGCAAGACCTGGATCTTGATTCCCAATTGACAGATGAAGAAACCGAATTCCAGAGAGGCAGAGTCATTTGTGCCACTGTGAGCCTCAAACTCTCCAGAGCTCCCGACTCACCCAAGTGCCACTGCATTCGCTCCTCTGGGACTCCAGCCTGGGCGAGGACTAGGAATCCTCTCGGGCAGATAAGATACCGAAGCCCAGAGGGGAGCCAGGATTTCTCTGCAGATCCCAGGGCCTTAGCAGAGGGAGAGATGCTGGGGTCTTGTTCTCAAGGCCCCTGTTAGATCCAGACCAGCAAACCACAAGCACCCACCAGGCCACCCCTCCCTGCCTGGGCCTGGGCTGGCCCCACAGCTGCCTCTGCACTGGTCTCGGAGGCCCCACCCTGCCCCACCCAGAGTGGCAGAGGCAGCTGCCTCTCGTGACAAATGTCTTCTGTCCTCAAAGTCACACTCAGTCCCTCCCAAAGTTCTGCTGACTGTGTGGCGTCCCTTCCCTTCCAATCAGGCCCCTCCCATGACCGTCTCCATCTCTGTGCTGGACCCCTTGCTGCGTGTGCAGACCCTACGGAGATGGGGCGCGCTCATCCCCACACAACAGAGAAGGCTCCCTTGCCAGCCACTCACCCGAGCTCCCACTGGGAGCATCTGCCAAGTCAGACTCCCAAGCCTGAGCTCTGACCCCCAGATCCCCAGTCATACCCACCCCTCCAGCCCTGGCGGGGCCAGCCCTGCCGCCTGCACTGCCAGATACAGAGAGGTGGTGGGTTCCAAAGTGCTGCGCTATTTCACCAATTTGGGCAGGCGGTGCCGCTCTGAATTTCACCTTCCCCGCCTGTGGGACAGAGCTAAGTTCCCACCATCAAGAGGAGCCAACGGCCCGGTGGCAGAGGCTGGGTCCCCAGGGTGGGCGGGCTCTCCTTCAGACTGCTCAGAACCTAGCCTCCCCCTCCCTGAACACACACAGCAAGCACTCTATGCTGGGAGCCATCCATGCAGTTGGGACCAGACACAGCCATCCCTGCTCCCGAAGGGCAAAGGGCACAGGCCTTATCGAAATCTCGCGGTGCATGGCTTAATCATACATAATGATCTGTGCTACGGCGAGGTGCAGAGAGAGCAGGCGACGAGGCTGGGGTGGGGTGGAAAGGAGCCCAGGGAACAGGAGAACAGCACAGGGCCTGAGTCCTCCTCGCTCCTGTCTCCCACGGAGGTGCGAACACCTTGAGCCAACCCCTTCTGAAGCTTCCCTGTCCCCAAGGGAAGCAGTCACGTCCACGGCTGCTCTCCCTCCTCTAGCCACTTCTTTGCCAGTCTCACTTCAAAAAAGGTGCAGGCGGCCGGGCACGGTGGCTGACGCCTATAATCCCAGCACTTTGGGAGTCCAAGGTGGGTGGATCACGAGGTCAGGAGATCGAGACCATCCTGGTCAACATGGTGAAACCCCGTCTCTCCTAAAAATACAAAAAATTAGCTGGGCATGGTGGCGCGTGCCTATAATCCCAGCTACTCAGGAGGCTGAGGCAGGAGAATTGCCTGAGCCCAGGAGGCGGAGGTTGCGGTGAGCCGAGATCGCGCCATTGCACTCCAGCCTGGGTAACAAGAGCGAAACTCTGTCTCAAAAAAAAGAAAAGGTTCAGCCTACAGAGCTCGGCACGGTCTTCTGGATGGGCCTGGCAAGAACAGAGGGAAGCAGGACTGCCTCCTCCCTTGTTTTAGTTGCTAGATCTCTATTAATGTCTCCTAGGTGTAGGCCGCGTGCAATTGTAACCGAGGACGCTCGGTTGTAACTGTAGGAGCACTCTGCCTCGACCCCAACTCGCCTGCACCCCGGGTCACCCAGGGCCCCCGCTCCCTCTGTGGTGTCCCTGTCACTTCCAGACACAGGCTGCTTTCCAGCCCGTCTGCCCCTCCCGCTGAGCTGGGCTGACCCAGAGTCCACCGTGCTGGTTCCCAAGCTTGTTTGTGCCAGTTGAACCCGTCAAAATAATTATGTCATGTAATTAAATATTACTTAAAATGATGAAATGCGAATCCAAGAGAAGAGAGTTGTTTTCTGTAGAAAAGCAGTTGGCTGCTTTGAAAACACTCCCTGGTAGCGTTTTGCTTTAAAAATTGCCGTGGAAGTAGATATCGGGGAGGCAGCGATGAGGGCACAGGGCGGAGCTGGGTAAGCCTGGGGGGCCGCGCTCAGCTCCTGCGAGGGGGCTCTGAGATCTTTGTCCACGTTAAAGCCACAGAACCTGGGAGCTGCATCCCAGCTGTCACAGTGCGGCCCTGCCAGTCGCTGCTGCGCTGCAGGGAATCTGCTCGAAACGCACGTTTCCTACCCAAACCAGCCCTCCCGAGTCAGCAGCTCTCAGGCGGGGCTCAGCAACCTGTGTCTAAACAAGGCCCCAGGCATTCGATGCCCACTCAAGCCTGAGAACACTGCTGCAGTGTAGACCAGTCATCAGAGGGATCATTTGTGCAAGAAAGGGCTCCAGGAGCCCCCGAAGAGCAAAGGAGCCCCAAAGAGGCTCTGGACCCACATCCAAAGATTAGTAAATGAACTCGAAGCTGTGTGCTTCCTGAAAGCACGATGCTGAAGGTTCAGGGAGAGCCGTGTGGCATTCTGCCCCCGGGACCACCCTACCTGAGCAGGCTTCACTGAGTGACCACGCGGTCTCCACCCTGTCCTGCCTGTGCAGATGAGCGCATTCTGCCAAAGTGACGTTCAGTGAACCCTTGGCACACCCCGGTCCCTACACACGTCACTTGCCTGTGCCACTTAATCCCCACAGGACCCTCAGTGGGAGTACTCGGCAATGCCCCCATTTTTCAGATGGGGAGACTGAGGCACACAGTCACGAAGTGACGCACCGAAGTGACCTCTCGAAGCCAGCAAGTGGCCTGGCGCTCCAGGGGCCGTGGCTCGGGGACCGGCCCCGTCCTCTTTGCCTGTGACCACCTGTGCGTTTTCCGGCAGCTCCACCATGCCTGCAGCGGGCCCGGCTTGTCAGTGCTGTGCTTCATGCGCCATGACCTCCTAGAGTACTTCAGCGTCTACGGGACGGCCTTGAGCATGTGGGTCTCGCTGATGGGTGAGTGCTTACCCCCTGTAGCCAAGCCCTGCGAACAAGGGCTGGCCCCCCGGTGTCCACACGCCCACCCTCAAACCAGCCTGCCCTGCATCCCCACTCACTCCCATCCCCAGGGACCTCTTCCCTCGTTCCGGTTTCAGGGCTGTGCTTAACCTATGAAAAGGAACGCGCACCTCTGAAATGCCTTGATGCCTGTTTTTCATATGCTTTTAAAACGACTCATTTGGTAAAAACTTGCTGTGACGCATTTCAACGGCAGAGGCATACGAAGGAAAACGTGAAAGCGCTCCCTCCTGTCTCTCCCTCCCGGGGGCACCCCCGTCCACCGCTCAGGGGTTTCGCCTCCCAGACTTTCATACAAACATCAACACACACAAGTGATAGCCAGCCTGGAAGACAGGACCGTTCCTAAGCCTCCTGCCCCACAGTGTTTTTCTCCCACCGACTTGTCTGTGGCAGGGTCCCCATCACCTGAAGGCGCCCTGCCATGGAGCCGGGCCTGGGAGGGGCTTCAGCTCTCCTCTTGAGTCTTAGTGTCATCCTCCTGCGACCCTGTGGAACAGGTTCGAGCCTATTCACTTTGCATAGTGGTGCTTGATTTTTAGCCACAGGATCTCACTCTGTCACTCAGGCCAGAGTTCGGTGGCATGAACACGGCTCGCTGCAGCCTCCAACTCACAGGCCCAAGCCATCCTCCCGCCTCGGCCTCCTGAGTCGCTGGGACTACAGGCATGCACCACAATACCTAGTTAACTTTTTTATGGAGATAAGGGGGTTCCACTGTGTTGCCCATGCTGGTCTCGAACTCCTGGTCTCAGAGGATCCTCCCGCCTCGGCCTCCTGAGTAGCTGGGACTACAGGCATGCACAACACCTAGTTAACTTTTTGTGGAGATGAGAGGAGGTTCCACTGTGTTGCCCACGCTGGTCTCGAACTCCTGGCCTCAGACGATCCTCCCGCCTCCGCCTCCCAAAGCACTAAGATTACAGACATGAGCCACCACAACCAGCTGTGGTCTATTTATTAAAACGAGGTGCTGGGAGCACAACCCACACGGCTGTGTCCATGGGGAAGCAGCAGGCTGCCTGTCTTCTCACGCCGGCTGATATTCAGACCCCGTCAATGACCAGGCTGGGCTTCAGGGTCTCACTGGCTGAGGGGATGCCGAGAGGGGGCACCTACAGGATGCCTCCTGGGAGCTGGGGGGTGGGGGTTAGCCAGGAGGAGCAAGAGAGACCACTCACCGCCCCCCGTGTCTCCCTGGCCCTCCAGCACTGGCCGACTTCGACGAGCCCAAGCGGTCCACGTTTGTGATGTTCGGTGTCCTGACCATCGCTGTGCGGGTCTACCATGACCGCCGGGGCTACGGGGTGTACTCGGGCCCCATCGGCACTGCCATCCTCATCATCACAACGAAGTGGGTGCGTGCCACGCGAGCCTCGACGGATGGGGACCCGGGGGCCCGTCACCCCTCCCTGTCCGACTCCTCCTGTCTCAGGTCTTCATTTACCTCCTGGCCTCACAGGCAAGTGGGTGGAGGCAGGAATTCCATGAAAACACTTAGAAAATGGCCATCAGGTGCTCCGGCTGTGCAGACCGTGTGTGAATCCTGTCTGTGCTCACCAGCTCCAGACTGAGCCCTGGTTACCCAACCTCTCAGCCTCCATGCCCGGATATGGAAAGCAAGTGTGATAACAGCCCCCACCTGCCTCACGGGGTGATTGGAAGACTCACTGAGAGGAGGCACCTGAAGTCCTGGCATGGGGCCTGGCTTCCAACGCGCTCCACAAACGGGAGCTATTTCTTATCACTCTCATCATCACTCACTATGAGCTGCTTTAGAGATGCAACATCAACTTGGAAAATGGCCTGGAGTCATCTGGGAAGACTTCCTGGAGGGAGTGAGCCTTGAGCCTGGCTCTAGCCATGAGGGAGAGTGTGATGTGAGAGTGAAGCAGCCTGAGCCAGAGCTTCTAGCACAGACAGCCCCTTGAGAGCAGCGAGGTGCTGGCCCCCACGAGGCCCACGCGGTCCTCAGTGCTCCCTGCCTCCTCCATCCCACCAACGCCCTCCTGGCTCAGGGACCAAGCCTCACTCAAACTAGCCCAAGCTGAAGAGGGACCTTAGGGCAGAGCAGACCCGAGGTGTCTCCTGGAACCCCAGACCAGGAGGGAGCTCACCCTTGCGGGGGTCTCGCAGACCTGGGGGCCAACAGGCTAGCTCTCCAGGCCCGCGGCAGCCCAGGCACCACCTGAACATCCCTCTGGCACATTTTACCTCTCTGTAGTGCCAGCTGGAGCCACACTGCCAGGCCCAACCAGGGCTGCAAGGTGCCCAGCATGCTGGAGGGCAGCTCTCGGTGCAGGAGGGCCCTCGGCTGTGGGGAGGGGAATCGAGTCCAGATGGGCAGCTTGCAAAGCCCGTCCCAATCCTCCCCGCAGCCAGGGAGCAGAGGATGGGTTTGCCATTCAGCCTATGAAGAGACCAAGGCATGGAGGCCTCAGCAACTTGACAGGACGTCATGGCAGGATGGGCGGGGCCAGGACCTGACCTTTTGAGCAGGAGACAGAGGAGCCGCTTTCTGGCTGCAACTTGGGGAAGCAGAGCTAACCCTGGGCTGACTCTGGAGGCCCCTGGGAGTCACCTTGGCAGGGAGAGAGGGAGCACTGGGCATGAGTGGTGGCAGGAAGGAGCGTGCTGGGGCCCTGTGTCCTGGCCACCCACCTCTCACCTCCTTCTGCCCCGGAAGGTTGCCCCTCCCACTAGTCTTGGCCAGGTCTGAACTGGGCTGAACTGTAATTGACCAGAAGAGAATTCACTGGTGGGGTCCCACCAAGAGCCATGAGACTGCCAAGGCCCTCGGGCTGCAGATCCGGCCACAGGGACCCGGGAGGGGCCGCCCGCCTCCCCGAATCTGGGCTCAGATTGTTGTTTTCTAGACCATTTAGCTGTGGAGTTTATTTTGGATTTTCAAGGGCAATTGTTTCCTGGAATGAAGGTGGATTTTTCTCCCTGAGCCTCGTTCCCCTCTTGAGAGGGGTTGGGAAAGGACGTGGGGAGGAAGGAGGGAGGACTGGGTGACGGCACCCTTGGGGCGGGGTCAGGCCCTCTGCGTGACCTGGGGCCGGCTCCTCCCTTCTCCCTAGTGTTGCTACTGCAGGACTGGCCAGAGGAGGGCTGGCAGCCTCGGTCACCGCACCCAGCCAAGGTCACACGGTCCAGCTGTCTTCACGCTACTATATGCCTGCAGGTGCTCAATTCCTTGTTGGCAATGAAATTCCAGAAAATGAAAAGCCCGGGCATGGATTCATAATTCGCTGGGTGGCAAACCCCGACCTGACCCAGCATACGGCTCTTGCTGCCCCGCCCGCAGGGGCTTGTGCCACACACTGTGTTTGACAGTTTACCCACTGAAATCTAAAGCCTCCTGAGTGTACCCCATGTGCCTGGCCCCGCTCCGAGGGCGCCATCACCCGACCCTCCTCACTTCCTCCCCACGGGGCTGTCACTCCCCAGCGCCCCCAAGAGGGGACCAGGCTCAGGGAGAAAAATCCACCCTCATTCCAGGAAACAACTGCCCTTGAAAATCCAAAGTAGACTCCACTTGAAGTGGCCTAGAAAATACCTGGTGGGTCCCCGGGGTGTGGCCCCGAACTTCCTGCATCTTCCTCGGGATGCAGACCCCTCTCTAAGTGGAAACGCCCCCGGGAGCCTTCCTAAGCACTGGGACCTGGGAAGCAAGCCATGCAGGCCAGGTTTGTCTACTGAGGATGAGATAGGTCCTTTAACTAGGAAAGCAAATGATGCTTGTCTGTGGCTCAGGGACCACCACAAGTGCCACCCCCGCGGGCCACCCTGGGCTGGGAGGTCCCAAGTACTCCCGCACCTTCTTCAATAACCAATCACGGAGTCTAGTCCCCACCCCGGGCTCCCCTCCGGCTGGGAGGAGAGGTACAAGGGTGACCTTTCACATCCCAAAGAGGCGGGAGGGAAGCGCGGTCTTTGTCGGGCATGTGGCCCAGAGGCACCTTCCCAGCCATCCAGGCTGGGGTCCCTGCTGGGTCCCACCATGAAGAGCCCTGTCCAGCAGCAGCCATCTGAGGCTGGGGCAGCAGGAGGCTCGGGCCGGGAGAGGGCTGGGGTGAGCCTGGGCAGGGTCGGCTCTTGGGCTGGCGTGGGGAGGGGTGTTGCCCAGTGCTGTGACCTAAGTGCTTTGCTCCTGTCCCCACAGCTGCAGAAGATGAAGGAGAAGAAGGGTCTGTACCCAGACAAGAGCGTCTACACCCAGCAGATAGGCCCCGGCCTCTGCTTCGGGGCACTGGCCCTGATGTTGCGCTTCTTCTTCGAGGTACCAGCCCAGTGGGGAGGTGTCCTGTGCCCGGGAGCCTACTCAGCGTGGCTCTGCTCAGCTGGGGATACCAGGGCTGTGCCCATGCTGGGGGGACTCTGACAGTCCCAGGCCGAAGTCAGGCATCACTCCCTGCTCACTCTCCCCTCCCAGGGCGGTGTCAGGGGCACTGCCCATGCCCGGCACCACCAGCACCATGGCCTGTGTGGACCTAGAGGTCACAGAGAGACCAAAGATGGCCGCCTGCAGAGAGCTGGCATCTCAGACGGCAGCACAGCCTGGGAGAGGGCTGGGGCCAGTGCCCGACACCCGGAGGAGGGAGGAAGGGAGGGAGAGAGAGAAAGATGGAGGAGAGGAGAGCAGGGAGAAGCCATGGGGTGGAAGGAAGGAGTGCAGCCTTGTCATTAGAGGCCTGGAGAATGGCCCTGGCCCTTGCTGCCCGGGGGTTAGGTGGAGGGAAAGGCCACTGTGAGTGCGACAGCGAGGGAGGCTTCCTGCAGGTGTCACAGGGCACACCAGGCCACGGCAGAGGCAGGGGCCTTGAGGGGTTCGGGTGGGCCTTGGAGAGGGGGCTGAGCCCCAGCCTGACCGCCTGCCCCCGGCAGGACTGGGACTACACCTACGTCCACAGCTTCTACCACTGCGCGCTGGCCATGTCCTTTGTTCTGCTGCTGCCCAAGGTCAACAGGAAGGCTGGCGCCCCGGGGACCCCGGCCAAGCTGGACTGCTCCACCCTCTGCTGCACGTGTGTCTGACGCTACGCCCGGCCGGCTCTGAGCTCCTGCCCTGCCCAGGTCGCGCTTGGCCAGCGTCCCAGACCGTTCCTCCTCCTGCAGCTCCCGCTGTCCTTCCCTGCCCCAGAGAAACATCTCTTCTATACCCTGAGAGATCCCCGGGGGTCTGTGACGCGCCCACCACGCTGCACCAAATGTGTCTCAAGAACCGGTTTATTCCGTTGTGACTGGGTGCTCAGGACCAAGCTGGAAAGATAAAAATCTTCTCCTCCCAGGCCTTGCCACGACCCATTGGCGTATCTGGTGAAGCCCTAGGTTTGGCGTCTGCCCACCCCACTGCTGGCCGGGGGCCCGGGAGTCCCAGCCGGGGGCCAGCCATGACGGGGACTCCCATGTCATCAGTTTTTTCTTGGAAACTTCAGTCGCCACCTCTGTCCTGTGCCCTCAGGCTCTGAACGACCCCATTTAGGAAGCCTGAGCCAGCCGGGCCAGCTGTATCCCTGGCCCAGGCCACTCAGGCGCCACCCCTCCCGCCGGGCCCCTGAATCATGCCGTTTTCATAATTATAACCAGTAAGAAGTGCCTCGATGTATCCACCTGACTGCATGCCAGACACTTTATATACGTCCTAATCCTTAAAAGAAGACTCAGCCAAGCGTCAGCTCTCCCACCCCACCCGCGTGCTCAGGGCCCGGAGCGGGGCTGCTCCTCTGTAGTGGGCAGTGTGGGAGGCGTGAGCACCACCTCTGGCCCCAGTGCTGGCTTTTAGCCCTGCACGCCATCCCCTGCATGTCAAGGGGGTGGGTTTGGGTGCAGTGCCCTTGAGCAGACGCCTCAGGGCCCAAATGCTGGGCTCCCTCGGCGGGGCCTCCCTGCATGTCATGGGCGGTCCTGTCCGTACAGGACGGCGGGGGTGGCGGCAGCAGGTCCCAGACATCACCTCACAACCTTCGTCCCCCGGCCCCATGCGATTCCAAGCCCACCTGTCTGGGCGCTGTTTGTGTTTCCAGATGATGCCACCGGCTTGGGAGTGGTTGCCTGGGTCCACTGCCCATGGAAAGAGGGCGGTTATTTGTCCTAGAGTCACCCCCTGCACGCCTCCAGGGCTGAGAGAGCTGGCTCCACACCTGGGCTGGGGACAGGGTGGCCCTCTCGGCCCCTCCCTGATATGGTCCCTCCAACTCCCTGGCCTGGCCGCCCCATCTGCTGCCCTCCCTGAGGGCCTGGCATCTCCCAAGTCTCAGGGGCCCCTGGCCTGCCACTCCCTCACCCGTCGTCCCTCCTGGCCTCAGAGGGCAGGCATAGAGGACAGCCAAGCTCAGCCTTCTCCTGGTCCCAGAGTCTTTTAACAAAGAGCAGCCCATGGCTGGTGCTCTCCACAGCTCTCAGGGCCCTCGCCCAGCCCAGGACTGTACATTGCTCCCACTCCTCAGAAGAGCAAGATGGGGCTCCACCATCCAGGGCTCCAAGCCCATTCACCCCGACAGAGGAGCAGGGATGGGGCCTACATGTCCCCATCAGAGGGATCAAGGCACCCAGCTTCTGTGCCCTGACCTGTGACTGGGGGGCAGGCATGGTGCTGCCTCTGTGGGTTTCCAGTCTATCTGAGGAGGTGAACACATGTGTGCACACACACCACACATACACACATGGACGTGCACACACGTACACACTCCATACACCAGACACCACACATACACACATGTGTGTGCACACATGTACACACTCACACACCATACATACATGCACATGCACACATGTACACATTCATACACCACACACATCACACATGCACACATGCATTTGCACACATGTACACACATACACCACACACACCACACATACACACATGCACACGGGTACACGGTCCATAAACCACACATACACCACACATACACACATGCACATGCACACATGTACACACTCATACACCACACATACACACACGCACACATGTACACATTCCATACACCACACATACACACATGTACACATTCCATACACCACACATACACACAGGTGCATGCACACATGTACACATTCCATACACCACACATACACCACACACACACGCACACATGTACAGGTTCCATACACCACACACACACATGCACACATGTACACACTCATACACCACACGTACCACATATACACACATGCAGGTGCCCACATGTACACACTCCATACACCACACACGCCACACATATACCACACATACACACATACGTGCACACACGTGCACACTCCATGCACCACACACACCACACATGCACATACGTACATGCACACAGGTACACACTCCATATACCACACACACCACACATACGTGCACATGCATGCACACATGTACATATTCCATACACCACACATACACATGCACGTGTACACATGTACACACTCCATATACCACACATCACACATATACACACACACATGCACTCATGTACACACTCTCTACACCACACACACCACACATACACACACACATGCACTCATGTACACACTCTATGCCGCACACACACACATACACACATGCACATGCACTCATGTACACACTCCCTACACCACATACACACACATTACACACACTGGGAAGAGACAGGGTGTCCCGGAACAAGCATCTTTCCCTCTGGCCCCATGTGGAGACCACGTGAGCCTCACACCAGGCATTGTAGGGCACAGGTTCTGGGGACCCGGCAGCTGGGGAGCCTTGGACAGCCCTGCAGAAGCAGGCACCTGCACAGCAGCTTCCCACCTCCCTCCCCGGCCTGGTCCCCCACCACAGCAAGCAGCCAGCGGCACCCCACTCTGCAGCAGCAGCACATGGAAAGTTGGAGGCGGCAGGCCACTCTGAGCAGGGCAGCAGTGAGGGTCCTGCCAAGCGCAAAGGGCCACACTGGCAGGCTCCTCGCTGCAGCGATTTACGAAGGCTGCCCAGAGCCCGGCCAAGTCTGTAAGTCACGCACAATTAGAAGGCGCAGCCCAGCCCTCAGCCCCTGCCCACCACGGTAGGCTCCCGGCTCCAGGTCCAGCCTCACCCCTCCCAACAGGGACAGCCCCTCCCTACATAGGTGACCCCTCAGGGGCCCCAGGCCACAGTCCTGAGCCCACATTGCCAATGAGGACACCGAGGGCCAGGGATGTCAGATGGCTCTAGACGGTGGCTGCTGGGTAGGAGATGGTGCCAGGGTGTCGACAGTCCCCCAGCCATTCTCCCTTCGTGGCCTCAGGCACCAAGGCCCACTTTGACATCCTGGGGGCTCTCTGACATCTGGAAGCCAGGAAGAGAGCACCTGGGAGGAGCCACCCTGCTCCGTTGACACCCAGAATGGTCACCCCAACGCTGCAAGATAACAAGAAAGAAACATCACGGCCTGCAGATGCAAACACCTCTGAATCCCTGTGCTGGCCAGCCTGGAGGGCGTTGCGTCCCTGGAATCTGAGAGAAGGCCTCCAAGGCCATCCCAGCCAGAACTCTCTCTCCCACCCAGCCCTGATGGGGACACCAGGGGACCATGAGTCCAGTGCTTGGAAAAGTAGTGCTAAATGTCACTAGAAGTCCCCAGATAGCACTGGCCGAGAGGACTTGTTTTAGCGGTGGGGAAGCTCTGGACTGCCCACCACGCCTGGTGCCCGGGCATTTGCAATGTGACTGCTACAACCCAGAGCCTGGACCTTTAAATGTTAGCTCCTCTTCATTAATTCAAATGTAAATAGTAACACGGGCGGCACTGCAGGTGAAATACAGGACACCCAGCTGCATTGCAATTTCAGACCTACAGCAGATGATCACGTAGCACAGCGTGCCCCGTGAACCACTGGAGACACACTTACGTGAGACATACCTACACCAAAAATGACCCGCCGTGTATCTGAGATGGAATTTAACTCAGACCTCTTTGTTCTATCTCCAGCCCTCTTCTTGCGGCTGGTGGTTACTGCACAGGACGATGCATCTGCTGGGAATGAAAGGGATGGGACAGCTCCAAGGACACTTGGTGGCTGAATGGCCACGTGCTCCACACCCCCCGCCCCCCGCCATCATTTCCCACTCTGGGGGATGGGTGGGCACACACACAGCAACAGCCTTCCTAAGCCTGGGAGCAGAAGCAGCCTGTGCCCCACCCATCCCAGTGCCAGGGTCAGCCACACCCCAGCCCCACGCCCCGGCCCCCGGCCCTGGCCCTGGCCTGCCCACGCCCCCTCCTGGCACACACAGCAGAAGCCCAGCTCAGGGGAGAGTGCCACACCTCAGGCAGCACCAACCCGGAGACGTATTCGAAACACTTACAGCAACATAAACAAAACAGGCTATTGTAGCAGCCACCTCCACCTCCTCACAGCTGGTGTGAGGCTGGCATAGCACAGGGGAGTGCTTGGGGCGTGCCAGGCCGTCCTCTGTTTGCACAAGCGGAGGCGGTTTCGTCTGAGGGCAGTCTGTGTGCTGTGGCCTTTGTCGTGTCTGCTACTGAAATTTCCTGTCTCTGTTATTCTCTTCTCCAGTCGTAAGACGATCTGAAACCCAAAACTTTTATTGCCCCTTTTAAAAAGGCTTTACAGCTCCCGGTCTGCTTCATAGACTGTCCTGCGCTCGGGGCTGGGATTGTAGTTAGGGCAAGCACGCTGGACTGGACACCGAGAAAGGAATTCACCCTGGTCTCCGCCGCAGGGGCTTGGCTGGGAGGACCTGCCAGAACTCGGAGGAGGAGAAGGAGGAGAAGGGGGGCGAGAGATGTTTTTGCAGAGTCGGCAGGAAGCCCCAGGGTGTAAATCTCCTTCGCTGGTTAGCTGGTTACCAAAGCTAGCTGCCTAAGGTGGTTAGAAGCAGCAGAGAGCGCACTCAGCCCCGGGACCCCCTACCAGGCCACCCCTCCATGGTCAGGTGACCTTGGGGCCATTTCTGTCACTCTCTGCATCCAGATCCCCCACCTTTGAACAGGAACAGCAGCCTCACCCCACCGACCACGTGGGCCCCTCTGAGTAAATTAAGTCAGAGGCTGGCTGGCTGGAAAGGTGTTAGGGGAGCTTAAACGGCAGAAGAGGCAGGGGGCAGTGGGGAAGGTAGGGGTCGGGATCCCAGCTCTCCCACTATGACCTCAGGCAAGTTCCCCGAATTCTCTTGGCCTCGATTTCCCCTTTTGTAATAGTGCCTGCCTCATATGGATGCTGTTAAGATTAAATGACACAATTTCATGTAAAGCACCTAGCACAGTATTTTTAAAAGACATTTTTAAAGTGGCAATCATTATTATTTTCATTATTATTCATCAAGGGCAAAAAAAGGAATCTCTAGAAATTTTTTTTTTTTTAGATGGAGTCTCACTCAGTCACCCAGGCTGGAGTCCAATGGTGCAAACTCAGCTTACCACAATCTCCACCTCCCAGGTTCAAGCAATTCTCCGGTCTCAGCCTCCCAAGCAGCTGGGACTACAGGCAGGCACCACCATGCCTGGCTAATCTCTGTATTTTTAGTAGAGAAGAGGTTTCACTATGTTGGCCAGGCTGATCTCGAACTCCCGACCTCATGATCCACCTGCCTCGGCCTCCCCAAGTGCTGGGATTACAGGCGTGAGCCATGGCACCTGGCCGAATCTCTAGA